GCACGAGATTCCAACGATTCGGCTCCTCGAGTTGGAAAAACGCGTTCCCTCCGCCAGGATTCGCGTCGCCGCATCTTTCATCTTTCTTTCGTCATAATCCTTCAAAAAGGGGGCGAGGGGGAGGAAAAAAATAAACTGGAAGAAATGTCTACGATCCGCGAGAGAAGGAAAGGGGAAACGAGGGGGTGGAAAGAGGGCACAGCATTGACATTGACTTTCCTTTCGGGGATGGAAGGGGGAAGATAGGTGGAAAAAAAAAGGGAGGATGCTGGCAGGTGGTAGGAATGGCGGGCTGAGAACGGGGGCGTAATGCTAGGCGACCAATTGCGCGGAAGAAAATTATGGCCGGCCGCGTGTACCCATCCTCGGGGTAACGTAATTTCATCGGGAGGACTGCTCTGCGACACGGCTTTGATAATAAAGGGACAACGAACCGGGATTACGGCGTGTTCATTGTCTTCTTGCCGGGGATCGGGTAACAGATTCTTGGCTGGATGTTGATAAACCCCTGGTGCAGGGGTTGAAGGTTGCCTGGGATATAAGAAAGGCGAAAGAATAATGGAGGAGAGTTAATGTAATTAATCGTGGAAAATAGAGGACTGTATATATATTGTGTTTTTTTTTTTTAAATTATCTTCGCGTGAAAGTAATTCTGAACTGAAAATTTGAGAGCATGTTAAATAAATAAAACTACGATGAATCTATACTCAAGCATGAAATTGAAAAATGGCGAGCAATGCTATGCATTCGTTGGCTGAAGCTGAGTAGCAAACAGCGAAACTATCATATCCAGTAGTATTGAATTCTCTGAGACCATTACAACCCCTTCTAAATATTCAGCTTACGAACAGATCCTTTGATGTACCGTTTCCAGAGCTTTTCGCCGTTGAAATATTCACACTATCGATTTGTTAACTTGATAATATACTTGTTTGCCAACTGATCGTAAATTATTCGCGAACAGCAGCGTGCACGCGACATTAGATAAAGAAATCGATCTTCATTATAATACTTTGAATCTATCTTTACATAAGAACTAAAAACTTGCCATCAATATGAATACCTATTTATTTAGATCTATTTATTTAGAAAAAAAAAAGAAATAATAATAAAGATCAGGAAGTGATTCTCTGTAATTTTTTCAGATGCTGACCAATCCTTGCCAAACTTCCTTTTCATTCTAATACAATTTCTTGGTGAAAATTGTATATGAATTTTATATCCATAAGGCAAGCGTTGCCAAAAGGTACAATACAAGGTAAAACATTTTAATTCGCATTTTAAAATAATTTATTCATCGCGCCAAACGATGTCGAAGATGAAGTTGTTGGATTTTTGCATTGATCCATCCACGCGTATGAAGCGCACGAGAAAATGGAGATACGAATTGAAACGAATCGATCGTCGAGCGAGTCGCGTTATCGGTCCTTTTGATTACCCGATCGTCGAGTTTTCGAATATATCGTTCGGTTTCGGATAGGCTCATCTATCATTCCGGGCAACGGTACAACGGGCGCCTACGTAAAGGAGATACCCGGCTATGTCTCGAGTATGTATCGATAATTCATCGCGTGCCACGAGATACTCGTTCAAGATGAATTTCGTGCCTCGAAACCGATAATCCATCATTCGAACGGAATTCGATAAACCGCGTATATCGTCCAACCAGGTGATAAAGTTTCCCTTACACCCCAAGTAATCTGTCTACGAATGATCGTGTTCGATTTGCTTGATATCTCGCCTAGGAAATAGCCAGCCAACGACAATAGTTAATAATTTTCCAAAGAGGCTTAGGGGGGATTTATCGGGAATGAAGCGCTCCGCACATTCCATGGTTATTGATTTTCGATAAGTGCGAGAAACAATCGTGAAATGCGGCGAAAAATGCAAATGGATTAAGAAATACGTAGGAAATTCTTTCCCATCTCTCGTATTTTCTTGGAAAACGTCACGATTGTGTTGTTCACGCATCGAACGTATCGTGCAATTTAATTAAATTCATTAATATCCTAAAATCAATATTTTCCTAGCATGATGTAAATAAATATGGAAAGAAAGATAGAAATTCTGTATTCTCGAGATATTATCGCACTTTGTTCAAAAGAGAGTCGCAATTAATGCGTTTAATTAGGATTGGTGATAGTTAAGAGTGAGATTCGAAGAAACAGAACGCGTAAGTAATCGTTCCTCGATTAAATCGTGTCAAGTCTGGAACGGGTCTGTATTCAGTGTCGTTGCGTTTAATTGCACGCGTAGATTGTAACGAAAACTAGACAGTTTTGTAAATAATTGGAAAGCAAGTGCGGTGCAGTTCGATGCGGAGAGGCAGAGTCTGGTTGCTTAAATAATTATATTTCCCCGGATCTCATTAGTACTTATGTTTCGCGGCCATTCTCCCGCGCTTAACATTTCCGAAATTACCGAAGAAACCGGGATTGTTACCTCGAAATGTTGTTTACTTTCACAAGCAACAAGCTTTAGAGCGAACGATCCAACTCGTTTCTAACTCTTGCTTTTTGAGATTCTACTCGTTATGCGGTGTATTCGAACGAAAGAAAAAGGATTGAGACTTTCGAAGTAAGTATAAATCTTCGTCTCTGTGGTTTGAATAAAGAACAAGAGGAACAAAAGGTTTGATCGATGAAAGGCGCGATGAATGTTTTGTCGAGGATACTGTTCGAGAGCGAAACTTTTCGAGAATATTTTTTTTCGCGAGTGGACATTGTGTTGGGAGTGAAGGAAATTAGTCACCCTCGATGTAGTATATATTCATTTGTAAAAAAAAAAAAAAAAATGTTTCGAAAAGTTTTAGACATCCTTAAAGCAAAGCTAATATATTTGGAAATAAATTTTTCATGAGTTGTTCTCGAAAAGTCATTTGTTACCAGGGGATACTCTGGTCGAGAATGAAAGTCACTGTTCGACGCTCATTTTTAACGGAACGTCGATTTGTGAAAAATTTTCTTGAGAGAGATTCGTTCACTTTCGAGTGTATTTCCGCACCTCGACATCGATAGGATAGAAACGAAATCCGAATATTTTTTTTTTGCGTGTAGTGCATGTAGTTTAGAAATTATTGAGGAATTTTTACGTAGGTAAGGACATCAATTCCCATCACCTGCATTGCGCATCCGGTTTCGCCGTGTGCTATACTTCTATACGGATGGATGGAACGTCCCACGTGCTTGGACAGGATACAAACACGGATCCAAGAGCAATGACATGCACTCATGGTACCGCATGAAATATTCCATTGGCCCGGCTACGTGATATTCGCAGACGCACGGAATATTCCTTTGTATCTTTGTCTACAGGTGACACGGCTAAAGTGCACTTTTCTCCAAGCGACGAATGAAAAATGAGAGGACCAGTGGACGGATAACGGGGAAGAAACGGTCAGACACGCGATTCGTGGATATGTACAAGTTTTCCGGGCAAAAGAAAAGAATTAATGAGACTGGGTGGTTGATTCTTATAAAAAAAAAATAAAATAAGAAAAAGGAAGAGAAAGGAAGAAGGAGAGGGAGAAGAAAAAGGAGAATTGGTACAAGGGAAAAGAAAAGTATCGCGAGAATGAAAGTTTCTCTTCCAACTGGGCAAGTGTATCTTCACGGTCTAAAGTCGCGTGAATCGTTCGTCGGCCTTTTTTCCCTTTCTCTTCTACTTCTTTTCGTAGTAAAGAGAGATGGCAAGCGTTAACTTCATAATATAAATTTTCTTTCCATCCAACACAAATGGATAAAATCGAAGAAAGCGGAACAAATATCCTTTGTTCGCGAAGTTTCGCGAAAATATTTTCACGATATTGATGTTTCTTTCTGAAAGGATCTATTTTTATTTTCATTCTCTCTATATATTATTTGCATATTCAAATATTATTATTCTTCTATTATGTAAGGAAATATAAGAAGAATTTTTGCGATCAGTTACAAAACAGTGAATTGATTCACAGAATGGCTCGATTCGATCATCGTTAGAATGAAACCTTATCATCGATTGCTATCACGAAACCCTCGCAAATCAAGATTACGTGAGCTGTGTCGTTCTCGCCTTAACCTCGTTTCTCTTAACTTCTTGCCACTCATCTATGTCAAATCAGGTAATTTCAGTTAAGTGGTTTTGTGAAAAACGTTCGAAGCAAACCGGTATTTCGTTAAACAACGCTGCTTTACGTTATCCCATAATTTCTGTGAAGACGAGCATGAGAAACGAAACCTTCGTCAATTTAACACTCTTCTTTTTCCGTCCGTTCTTCAATTTTTGTTTCGTTCTTCTTCCATGTCTTTGATTTGTGGTTTACTCTTAACAGGCAACAGAATATCTTTTGCAACTATACTACAATTTCATTTCATTCATTCACTAAAAGTATTAAACTACAATAATTTAATAATAATGAATAATTTTTATGTGTTGAAAGTTAAATTATAATAAATTAGTTACAAAAGAAAAGAAAAAATATTAATTAAATAATTAATTAGATTAATTTTATTAGAATTATATTTAGAATTTGTTAAATTATGACTAGTGTAAATTAAACAAGGTATGCTTGAATTGAAAATAGAAAGCAACACAACAGCGTTAATTATGGGTTGGGTAGCAACTAGTATTATAATTGTGTCGGGAAAATTACACTCTCAAATATACTGGCGTCGTTATAGAAACATTTACAATTACCGCAGACAGAGCTGCAATTTCATTCTGCATAGTCTATTCGTATTCCCTCTGTATGTATTTGTCGTCATAAACCGAGCAAAGAAAAATACGCATCTTTTATGCAACAATATAAATCGTTAATGCAGCCATTGTGCTTTTTATTAAAAATAAAAATAGTAATATATTATTTATCTGCATGCTTTTTGTCGTGTTAAGTTTCAACTGTGACCACGGTGCATGCGTCGCTTTGAATAGACCAATGAGAGAGTACGGCGCGAACGCATCAGCCAATAGGAACAACGGATAGTAAATGAGCAGTTGCGCGGCGCACGGTCGGGACGCCGAGTGGCGCGCTGCTCGCAGTACCGCGACAACCCTCGAGCTAAAAGCATCGTATCGATGCTGTCGGTGACCCGTGCGTGAATCGTGTCGTGAAACGTGAGAACCTCCTTCCCCTTTTCGTTCTCGTGATCCGACCAAATTCGTACGCAGTGCTGTGGCAGTGCGTCGCTCCTTTTTATCTTTCACTGTCTCTCTCCACCTTTCGTTGTCGCACGTCGAAAACTTGCGTGAAATTGCGGTAGACGCTCGCGCCATTACGTGTCCCCCCGTACCTTGTTCGTTCTTCGACGAAAACAATTGTATTTACGGGTATTCTTTACGAATTTTGAGCACGAGTTTTTCTCGCGATGTCTGTGAGTGATATGTGAGTTGTGTTCTCGTCGTTCTTCCCGACTGACATTGTTCATCCTTCTCGGAGGAAGGGAAGGAGTGACAAGCCGAAAAATCAAGCATCGCGAATAAGGTAAGATTTTTTAAGTGATATTATAATACGTTTATTAATCTTAAATGGTAATTATTATAACATGGTTATATTTGATTAATTTTTAATTGTGTTCAGAAAATTGCGTTCGAAAAATGCGTTCGAAAAATTGCGTCGTAAAAATATATCGCGAATGATGCTATAGAATGTACAATGGCGTACAATATACATACATATACGTATAATAGGCGTTTCGAATTGTTTTTATGGTTTGTTGACATCTGACTCGTTCGATTCAGTTTTCCAAGAATTTTCGTCAGGTAGGGCATTTGTTTTCAAACGTATATGTACATTCTGTGTTTCTCGTTTTGTTTTCTTTTCTTTTTCTATACTATTGCGTCTTGTTTCCCATAATACATTTGCTGCGTAATATCGAATTACTTCGTGGCATAGCCGCGCTTAATGGACGTTATGCGATTGAAAAAAATAAAAACCGTTACTTTCTTTTATGATTGGCTATTTTTATAATCTTTTCTCAACCATAAGCAAAATATATTTTTTTTTCTTTCCATTATACAGAAGCTTTATATAATAATAGTTTTTAAAGTCTCGATTTGTACGAGAAAATCGAACGTAACTAACTTCAGAGTAAAAAGACTATTCATAACGAATATTATTAGGTGAAACACAAGCAAATATCGGAAATACACGGTATGCTATTCTGCGGTAGATTTGTGGATTTGTTACCGAAGGTTTGTAACCTGAAACAATTACACTTCAATTGGATCGTCCCACGTTATGCCTCTGTCAATAGATTGTATAGTTAGACTATTTAGCTCGTTATCATCGCGTATAGAGCATATGTATTCGTTTCAAATTCGAAAATTTGAACAAACATTGTATAGTTTTAAAAAAAGTGGCCTGTTAACGATATAACGATAGTTTCACTTGCAATTTTCAATTTTTTCTCTCGTAATTGGTCGGTAGTCTAACTTAATAACTTTTTTCCATTTTCGAATGTTCGAAGAGCGAAAGTTTGTTTTCGCAATAATTTTCATGCTGATGGAAGCGTAATTGCCCCAGTTTTCGGTCCTTTTATGTGTTCCAGTGGTTGAATATATGACAATGTCGCGAAACATTTCTCGATTGAGTGCATTGAAAAATGAATTTGATTGTCGATGGTGCGCACTTTATACGATTACCTAGCTTTCGTGGCTTTCGAAAAAGATATAGGTTAGAATGGTTGTCGTTGTGTCGATATACAAAATAAACTAAGAATTTGATGGAAAAGGAAAAAAGTTTTGAAATCAACTTTCCAAAAATAGTGTCAGGTTAAAATATCGTTAATTCTTTCGAATACATCGATCATTTTATCGATCAATCATTATAGTATATTTATAATTTCAATTTAATGCGTTCACCAATCAAATCATCCATCTCGATATTTTTCAGAAATATTATAGGATTTGATTTCATATTAACATGCTTATTAATCGATTCTCAATCAATTATTTCCTACTAGAAATTATGTGTATATCCATCAAAGTGTAATGCTCTGTTGCGCTTCTCATTACCATTTCTCCATTTAATTATCGAGAATGTATTAATTAATTGTTATTATCGTTAATTCTTTCACCTCTCTTCCCACGATTATTCGCGTTCGTTCAACGTGTCTTTCATATATCAGATAACAGTATTATAAAAGATATCTTTATATATAATTAATCGCTATCGTTGTTCCTTTTATTATTTTTACAATTGCGGGTTATCGGAACAAACGAATCAGATATTAGGTTTAAAACATTTTTTCAAAATTTTTATAATACATTTTCGTTATTCGCATTTCAAACGTTTTTAAACATTTCTCGATGAACGAAAGATGGAATCGTGACATCGAAATTGGAATAGATAAAAGTAAAAGGGTATCGAAGGATATGAATTATGCTTTAGTGGAAAGTTAACGACTTTTCGAAAGGAATAGGGATACAAGTTTCACTTATATTCCGTGTACTTTTAAAACACGGCTTCTTCGGGCTAAAAGTGGTCGAAATTTGTTCGGTTCACCGGTCCATATCGTGAACCAAACTTTTGTAACGGATTCTAAGGATGAAGCACTCGAGGAATCCGATTGAAATTGAATATCCAGGGTGCAGGAACTTCTTCGGTTATTCCTCTCACTTCTTGCTTCCTGCACTCTCGTCGACATTTCACTTTATTATTGCTTCGACTATATTGGTGGACAAGAAAGGGGGGTGGTGACTGGTTATTCTCGTTGTAAATCTTGTTTCGAGCAGTAGATCTAATCGAAAAACTTTTTCGGCCTTTTTATTCAAACGTTATTTAAACATAAGCAGAAATATCGTTTCTTCGATTCTAGGATATAAGAACTCAAAATCGTTTCTTTTTATAAATTTATCTTTCTATCAAATTCATATTAGGAGAGTTTCGATAACAAGATAAAAGCTGTAAATTTTCAAAGATACTTGTAAGATAGAAGTGGCTCATAAATGTTTTATAAATTACTTTTTTATCGGTTATCGAATTATCAAAATATGGAAAATAGAATTTGTATATATTTTATTTTATAATTACTCGATTATTTAAATCATATGAGATTTTTTTACAATGAAATTGATACGAAATTTAAATATAAATGAATAAATTTAAAAAAAAAATATTTGTATTTCCTCTCTTTGTTTCTATTTCCGATTATTAATATTTTCGACAAATTAATAAAATCATTAGTAAAAAAAAAACTTTTATATTTAAATTTATTATAAAACGTTAAATAATATTACGATATTCGTAATGTATAAAAAAATCTCATCGAAATTAATTAATGCAGAAAAAAAAAACATAAAAATCTATATATTTTAAAAAATAATCAAACACGTTTTACAGAATTCGTATATTTATTTTTTGCGATTTCTCGAAATTTATTAACATTTTCACTTTTAACGTGACGATTCTCCGAGGCACGATATAAATCAACAACAATATCGCGAAAGCTTGCGGTCGTGCACGTGAAATACTGTCCCCGAAAACCGTACGAATGCACATTCTCTCGATCGTTTTATGACCGACAGAATGGTGCCAGAATTTTTCGTTTTATTCGCCAGTAGAGAAGCACCGACATACCGGATGTCCGGGCGCATGCAGAGTCGCGCGTTGCCCTGGAACATCGGTGAACTACTACGTTTAAATTTATGTAAAATCTCCTCGTGGCCCGACAGAGAGAGAGAGAGAGAGAAAGGGAGAGAAATAGAGAGAGAGAAGCTGTGTCGGCGATGCTGCTTTTCATTATTTACGAGCCAACAAGTAATCGCGTTCACGACAACTTGTTGCTTACTAGAAAACTCTGAACTTGGCGGTCGTGGGACCATCGGTTCGTTTGTTCGCCAAAGATAATCGCGTGGCGAATACGCGAACTCTTTTCTACTCGATTCCAGCGATTAACCGGGGGATTAGTTTTCGATTACACGCCGGGGAACCATTTCCGCGACCGATACTCAGGGAAAAAGAATTCTTTGTACCTGTTATTGGATTGATAATTTTATCCTGTTTTGTTTTGAACGGGGATTTTGATAGATTTTTAAAAAAAAAAAGGATCCTTGTAAATCCATTTGAGAATTTAATTTGGAATTTAATTGGTATCGAGAACAAAGTGTGATAATTTATTATTGAAATAATTTTCTATTTTGTTTCGTTTCAAAAAAAAAAAGAATTTTTTTGAAGAATTTCATTAATATATCGATCCGATCTTTCGAATCATTAATTAGAAACAGTCACAACAAAATTTTTTCCATTATTTTTCAAAATTTTGGCAAACATTCTTGCCAATCAAAACGTAGAAATATCTGAAAATCTTTGGTAAAGATTTTCAGAGCGGAGCGGATAAACGGATAGGATCTCGGAAAGATGAATTAACGGCAAAATGCTCGATGATAAATTCGTGGCGTGAAACTGTTTTCGTTCCACGGATTTTTCGGCTATCCCTCCCTGCTCTCGGATGTAAGTTAAGGGTCAGAAATTGGGTCAACTATGTCGAGAGACAAACGGCCCGACACGTAAGCGAAATCCGGTTTTCTCATCGAGCAACATTTACGTTGCGAGATATTTTAGCGTGAGAGGGTAATGAAACGCAATGAAATGTGACGAAAAAATACGAGGGAAAGAAAGGCGAGGGTGGAGAAGGAAGGTGGAAAGGGTGAAAAATAGAGAGAGAGAAAGAGGGAAGATCGTTTTCGGTTAGACGATTATCTTTCTCTCTCTATCTCTTCCATCTCTATCTCTCTGTCTCTAATTCTGTTTCTATCTTCGTCTTTGCCTCTCTTTCTGGCACGTGTTCACAGCCAGAGAGAAAATCTCACTGTTTCACGATGGTAAACGATATACGACTTTGCCGGTGAAATAACGTGCTCGCGCCTTTGTCCTATTCTCGCCTGAAAATGTTCCCCAAATTGAGGAATAGTAGAGTGAACTTGTTCACTTCGTGGATTTAGAAAAAAAGAAATAAATCGAAATTTTTTTATTTACATTCGAATGGAATATCTATAGCCATGTAATAATTAACGATTAAAGTAGATCTAGCTAATCGTGATTTTGACGAAGGATTACTTGTTTAGTTTATTCAATTGTCAGAATTAATTTTAAAAATTCCTTTTGACGTGGAATTAATGTACGTCATTTATTAACAATCTGCTTTGATTCTGTCAATATTACATGATATATACGTATATATATCAAATAAAATTTTAATTTAACGTCAATTACAAAATATTCAAAATATAATTCGCAATTAATATTTTTCAATCGGGTCAAGGTTTAGAGCTTAACGTTCTCGATTAACGTTGGATGGCTAATTTCATCAATTTTTCGTCAGTTAATCTTCATGTTTCTTTTTTTTCAATCGATTAACCATCAATACCACGAACCCAATATTCTATTTAAATCCATATTATCGAAAGAAAAAATCTTTATATTTCGTGAAAAGGATTCATTTTCAATCAGCGAAACGATCGTGTAACGATTATCCGTTGATTTTATCGGAATAATCAAATTTTTTCCACTATAATACATTCAATTTGCATCCCAACAAAACGAGCTTCATTATCATTCTCATTTGCCGGATAATTAACGTTCACCGAATATTTTTAACAACGTAAAATCCACTCCACTCGATATCCACAACGATTTTCCTTTTTCACGATTTTTATAATTTTTAAAATTATTCTCTACACCGAGAAGAGGAGTCGATATATATCTTACTCGAGCTTTCGTTCCAACATTCTCTCACGGTGTAAACAGTTCTGTAAAAAGTTGCCCCGTGTAAAAATTGTCCCCCAACATCTGATCCGGACGGAATCATCGAAGATCACTCGAAGTTTTATTTTAGTTTCTTAGCGGTGGAAAGTAATTAACGAGTTTCCTCTGATTTGGCAACCGGTTGCGGGGAGAACGCATCAACTTTCGGATGTGCGCGGTTCGTTAACGAGTTGTGTTAATACGCCAGCCGCTCGGTTACTCGGCTTATTTGTATTTGCGAAGCGAATTAACACGCCAGCCAACTCGTTCCCAACTATCTGTCGGTCCGGACGGATAAAAAGATTCCCGTTTTTTCAAACGGAGATCGGAAAATTGTGCAATTCTTTCAATCTTTTCGATTGTGTTTCGATATTCTTCGGTATTCTTTCGTTTGCAATTAATTCGGTGCAATTCGATGATCGTATTGTTTGGTCGCGTTACAAAGTTTCCTCGAGAGTGTAAAAAGTATTCTCTAAAGTAGAGAGGATTGCTCTCGAGAGAAAAAGGGTATGAGTAGAGAATCACTCTCTCGAGGAGAGTAGAGTCGCTTTCGAGAGAAGAGGATTGTGTTCTCGCGGAGAATATAGAGTTGCATCCGTGCGAACTGTATCGCATTGCGGAATATCTGGCCCGTGATTACGAAACGGATATAAATGTTGCACTATGGGATACAGTATGGTTTATTCTTGGTTTGGATTAGTTGACTTTTGAAGAGAAAGCTCGGAGCATTCTGATATAGGGATTGAAATTTCGCCTGGCCTTACCACCGCGTTATTTAATCGCCAGTTGTTTACGAAGCTTAAATAACGTATCCCATCGTACGAGATTGAAAAAGTTTGGTGAGTGGTGCGCAAACAACACACAGGCCTTTTTTTTTTTCGATATGTAATTAATCGAAACACTACCGTGGACAAATCGTGGCGATAACGAAGGCCAGCGAATATACCGGCGTCGTTTCAAAAATCATTTTTAATTCGTCTTCGTGGAAAATAATGGCGCGTGTAAAAGAAACGGTGCAATTACTTAACCCACATTTTCGAAAATTTAAAATATTTCCTCGAAATTTTAGGAAAGCGATTGAAATTCGGCGAACCTTTCTTCCCTCTCTCCCCTCTCTCTCTTTCTCTCGTTGCAAATTTCACTGCAAATTTTCACTTTGGCGAACATTCTCGATTCTGTTTCTGACAATGCGTTTCGAATATTTTATCGCGATATCAGCGGATCGACCGGTCAAATTCTCGCTTTGCCATTTCGCGAAAAAGGAATTATTCGGCGAACAGGGGATGCTTTTTAATCGATAGGATTATTCGTTTTTTTCATTAACTTGGACACGCAGTCGAGGCCAAAACGCGTGGAACAACGATGTAAACATGTAAACGATGCCT